CCTGTGCCAGGGCAGGGCCCCTGTGCCAGGGCAGGGCCCTTGTGCCAGGGCTGGGCTGTTCCCTGCCCACTGCACCTGTGTTCCTGACTCGGGTCCCAGGTGGTTCTGCTGCTCTCGGGAGGAGCCCAGGGAGATTTGTCTCCGAGGTAAAACTCAGCCCCTGGGAATTTCCCTCTTTGAAGCCCTTTTTCCTGGTTTTTGTTTCTTTGTGACTTCAGGATTTTTTTGCTTACCTAAGACTCTTCCCTGCCCAGGTAAGAGTCTCCAGGGCTAAGGTGGGTGTAGAGTAAGCTGCTTTCACCAGGGAGCCTGCCAGCTCTCTTGGAGGTGCTGGGCGTCCTCCACGCCCACTGACTTCAGCATGAAGGAATGCACAGCAGGCCCTGCCTAGGAAACCTCCTTAGCTTGATTCCTAGAAAAATGGAGTCCTGCAAGCTCCCGGTGTGCATGAAGGTGTGCACATGTAGCCCTGTGTCTGTGCACCCTCCAAACTTGTGAATCAGCTTAGTGGAGTGTAAAAGCATTCAGAATTTTAAATAACTTGTGGAAAGACGAGCTTGAGCACAAAAGAAGGAAACCCTATTAGCCCCTGCATGAAGGGAGATGATGCAGCATGACATCACACCTTACTTCAGCTCTGATCAGGTGCTCAGGGCTCCCTGAGGAGATCTTAGATGTGCTCCAAACGAGAAGAGTTTGCATCGTAACACACACCAGGGAATCCAACCCTGAGTTAAATCCATAGGCAATCAGGCTGGCTCTAGCTGCTGTGTGCATGAGTCTGGTTCTCTCCAGAGCCCCAGAGGCTTCATCCCTGCTGTCCCAGTGCCTCGGCCTGTGTGGGATGGGCTGACAGGAACACCGAGCGTGGATGCAGGAGGAGAGATGCTCGAGAACACACGTGGTAGGGGCTGCTGATCCAGGGCTGATGGTGAGCAATCAGCATCTGATTCCCAACGGATGCACGTGCTCTCAGTGAGTGAAAGGACAGCTCTGGGGGAGTGGGACAGCACTGAGCACCTCCAGCCCAGAGGGGAGTGGGGCTCTGGGCCGTACCCCACACCCTCCACAGGAGCCACGCGGGTCTCTCGGCTGGGGGAGCCAGGGGTGTGCTCTGGCTGGGAGGGATGGAACCCCCTGTTTCAGCTCCTTGGATGTTCTGCAGGATCTGTGCCTGCCCCTGTGTCTCACAGCAGGAACAAGTCACCTCCCCAGTGCTGCAAGGATTCCTATGCAAGTCTCTGGCAGAGGGTGCAGATGGCTGTGGACTCCAGTGATACTCAGTGCAGCTCAGGCTCCTTCCCCTCACCAGCTGGAGACACAGCTTAGTGCCACCTGACCTGAACGTCAGAGCTTACACCTGAGCCAATGCTGCAGTGTTTTCCATGTTTGGAGATGGTGGTGTTAGGGTAATGAGTATCAGGGCTGGTTGTGCTGGTGCCACCCATTGCAGTTCAGGTGTGTTGCTCTTTTGTGCCTCTCTTCTGCTAATGATATTAAACAAATTCAGTGCTGTGTATCTCTGCAGGAGCAGAAACACTGACCAGGCTGCTTTGAGTGGGAGGCTGGATCAGGTACCTCCTGAGTCTGCTCCCATCCTGGTGATCCCAAACCAAACCCTGAACATGACCTAGGAAGCACTGAGCACGGTGAGACCCACTTGGCCCATCAGGTCTGGCTGGAGCAGCTCCTACTTAGAAAATTCTTCAGACTTAAAAATTGTTCATTTAAAAATGATGTGATGCTTAATGTCAGGTAAGAGATTACAGGTGTTATAAGCTGCTGGCAGAGGTAAATGGAGACAGCTGGAAGCAGACCTTGCCTGTCTTGGCTCACACGGACAGGTTTGTAAGGCCACAGCATAAAACAGTCTCAGCTGAGATTGTCTTGATGCTGCTGAACAGCAAACTCCAGAGCAGTGATTTTCAGTATTCTTTTATTTTTGAGGGTTCACTTTAGCTGCAGATGCCACTATCTCCTGGCACAAGGAATGATGACATCCAGGCACAGGCTGCCAGGGCAGAGGGAGTGGTGGCTGCTGGCGAATGAACGTCCTGCCAGGCACTGCTCTTTGATTGTCACATGGCACATTGGGAAACATCCTCAGTGTCCTGGCACCTCACCTGAGGATGCAATGTGCTCATGGAATGATGTGAGCAGCGAGGCAGGACTGGGGTGTTTGGGGGCAGCCAAAACCTCGACCCTCATCCTCCTCCACTCGCTGCCTTCCTGTGCTCCCGTGGGAAGGATGCTGTGCTTGCTCTGAGGAAGCACAACACAACAGAACATTTTCCAGCAAAACTTGCAGGTGGAAACTTGCCTTCAAAGCCTCAAGTCCAGCTCACTGCGGCTCTTCCAGCCCTGCTTTGTGCAGACCCAGCTTTGCTGCAGTGGATCCAGCCCAGCTGCTCTCTGCAGGGCAGGGCTGGCTCTTTGTTCTGCAGAGCCTCGGGCGCCCCGAGCCCTCCTGCTCTGCCGTGGGCAGGAGGGTGAGGACAGGCCCCACGCTTGAAAGACAGATGCCATTAAAATGCAGCAGAACAGAGGCTGAAGTCAAATATAGTGCTGTGATGATCTCAATCGTGAAGCTTAATGATTTCACAGTTGAATGCAAGATTATTATTGTTGTATTTTTAGTAAGGCTCGTGCGAGCTGTGGGAAACAAACCCCTGCTCTGTGCTGGGGGCTCCTGCAGCCCCCGTCCTACACCCACCACTGCCAGCTCGAGCTGTGCTGTGTGCCTGCCCCTGGCGTGCCACGCTGCGGGGCTGGAGGAGGCCAGGGATGGCCTCAGCAGACAACACCTGGGAAGGTCCTGTTTGGGATATTTAAAGTGGAAAGGTTGACCAGAGTGGTTCAGAACAGCTAAGAAATGCAGAAAGGCTGTTTGGGGATCTTTTCTTTGCAAGAGTGACCTGCACAGAGACATAAAAGAAGCATGTAGCTGTGGGGGTGAGGAACAAGCAGCCTCTGTGCCCCAGCCCTGGCGTGGCCTGAGGACCCTGTGGCTGCAGGATGCTTAGGCAGGTGGTTGATCTTCCCCTGACCACAGCCCTGTGCTGGAGCCACAGGTGGTTTGTGCCCAGCTGATAGTCCTGCAGAGTTGAGGGTGTTCCAGCAGGACAATTACTGGGCCAGGTGGATTTGTGCTGTGGCAGCACCTGGAAGTAACTGCTCGGCCAGGAGTCTCTTTGCTTGGCTCGTGCTCTGCTCACTCATCGCTGCTTTGAACTTCCTTTCCTGTCTGATTGTTCCTTTAATCAAAAGGAGATGAACTCCAATTAAGGTATCTCACACAGTGAAGTTTGTGCCGGATTGCAGCCGCTGGGGACCCTTTGAAAAGCAGCAATTCCAGGCCTGATTCACCGGGGCTCAGGGGAAAGGGGTGGATCAGCTCCCCAGGGGAGTGCAGAGTGTGATTCATGCGAATCACGGTCCTCACCCCGTGAGCTCGTGCTGTGTGAGATAGGCTGGAGCCTGGCAGCAGCACCACAGTGGCATTTGGGAGATGCCAAGGGTGACTCCAGGCTCTGTGCTGACCCAGGCATGTTCATGCTTGTTCTCCTGGTGCAAGACATGTCTTTCGAGTGTCCTTGTGGAGAGGCTCCCACCAGCCCCAGGGACCCACGGGAACAGCCTCAGTCAGACAGAAACTGCTTGTGGCACGTGGTGACTGCAGGGGTTGGAAGGTCTGTGGGGTGGATGGTGAGCAAGCAGCTCCTAAACTGTCCTTGGATTTCATCCACAAACTTTTAATAAACACAGGGCATTAACCTATTGAGAGTATTCAGCTTTACAAGCTCTGGGTTTGAACCGAAAGAAGATAAGCAAAGCTCTGCTGAGGCCAAGTCCCTCTCGGTGAGCTGCAGGTAATGGTGGAAATGTACTGAAATCCTGGAACTTGGAAAAAAGGGGATTTGAACTCCTGTTGTGTGTACTTGATACAAGGAGGTACTGGGAGATGTTTGAAGCCCAGACAGCACTTACCCTGTAGTTTCATTTTGGACCACACAGACTCTTTATTTTCCCTCTCAAGAGGACCGAGCTGCCCAGCCAGGGATGGTACTGGAGGCAAACCCACTGTGGCAGAGAACACGGTGAGGTACCAGCCTTGGGGTCCCAGCCTCTGTCGTGGGCAGGTGCCTGGGGCTGGAGGGCTGGGGGTGCTGGGGAACTGAAGCCCCTCGTGTGCAGCAGGGACCTGCCCAATGCTGATGGCTCTTCCCCAGGGTGGCCTGGGGTCTCAGCACCTCTGCCAGCCCTGCCTTGCCTACTGGGAAAGGACACCACGGAACTGGGGTAGCGTCAGCTACTGTGCCCCTCGAGCCAGGGAGGGGCTGAGAGCTTTCAGCAGGTCACTGACTTCTGAAAGTGAAAAGCACACCCAGAATGGTCCCAAGGCCCTAAGAGGCAGGAAGAATTGCAAATAGGAATTGAAAGCTAAAGAAAGAGAAAATCTTAATTAGATCTCACCAACCTGTAGAGGAGCGCGTTGGATTGAAATGAAATGGAGCTTTGTGCTCTGGGGCTTCAGTGCAAGGAAGGGAGAGGAGTTATTCACATTTGCTATTTGTGAGGCTGGATTGCTTTTTCTGTGAACTTGTCTTTTTAGCTTCTCACCTTGTCAAAGAATTCTGAAAAGCTGCTGGGAGGGTGTATTTGGGGTAGCTCTTACCACAGCACACGGCAGAAACATTTCCATGGCTGCAGAACATGGGCAGAGTTTCCTATTTAATCCTCTCCTCCCAGGTTAACTCCTTTCTTCCTGTGCTGTCCAGCCTGGCCCACACTTGCCTAGCTGCCTTCACTGCCAGTGATGTTTTCTCTTTGTGAATTTCTATCAATAATTAATACAGTGGTGTCAGTTCTACTGTAAGATGAGAAGAACTACTAGCAACCTTGAATTATACATTGGGTGGTGGTGGGAGTTGGGAGCATTTTCTTTTAGACCCAAAGCTCTCGGAGTTGCTCTCCAGGACCTGCAGGCTGAAATCCCAGGAATGGATGAGCCCCAGAAGGAACCCAACCAATGTCAGGAGGGACAGCCCCGCAAGGTGAGGTTCAAAATATCCTCCTCTTACAGCGGCCGAGTGCTCAAACAAGTGTTTGAGGATGGGCAGGAGCTGGAGCTCCCGACCGAGGAGCACTCGCGGCGCTTCCCGCGCAACAGCTTCGAGCCCGAGGACAATTACTGTGGGCTCGAGGAAGAGCCAGACAACAGGTTCTACTGGCCCACGGCGCTGACTGCCCGGCGGATCAGCATCCTGCGGGAGGACCAGACCCACAGCCTCTCGGGGATCTCATCCCTGCTCAGCGATTGCCTGCCTGGCACCAGCCACTGCGGGGTGAGTGCTGCCAGGCTGCCCCTCCGGGCCGGGCTCGGGCCAGACCATGCTCAGAGCAGAGCGGGGACAGGAGCCTCACCCAGATAAAGCTCCGTTTTGTCAGCCCAGTCGTGTACAGGGTGGGTGTAAATCTCCAGCCTCTACCCCAGGAGATGTGTGCGCTGCACACTCCTCACGTGGCAGGACCTGCAGGGTCTGCAGCAGCACGGTCAGCAGGGAGCTGTGTTCCCGCTGTGTTCCAGCTGTGTTCCAGCTGTGTTCCAGCTGTGCTCTAGCTTCTCCCAGTGCTGATCTGCGTCTGTCCGTTGGGTAGGATCAGATATAACACATCCGTACGTGTCAGTATCTGGGCGTAGGAATCCTACTGCCTCTGCAGCAGCCAAATGCCAGGTGGATGTTAGCTCAATTAGGTATATTTAAAACATTAAAGTTGCATGACTTCAACTGGCAGAAAGGGCAATGCCACCACCAGGGTACCAGGAGCCCGTGAGCCAGGGGTCCACGTCTGCCGGCAGTCAGAATTCCCCTTTGGTCACTCTGACTATCCCAGCCTTGTTTTACTGGCTATTTTGTTAGTATATATTTAATGCCATTGATCTAGAAGTGTCTCTCCAGTCCTAATAAAGAGGCAACACATGTGATGTGTGTAAACACTTTTTATGGCCTTGATTTGAGCACACTGAAAGTCTGTTAATTGGTGCTCATCACAGCTGAGTGTGGGAAACACAGATGGTGATATTTGACCTGTGTTTGGCTGATACACTGGACACCTAGTTTACCTGAAAGTACCAAACCACGATGAATCTCTCCTGCCCAAAGCAGAGCAGTACCATGATCTTATCCACCCCGTTAATTTGTTCTGCGTTCCTGGGTAACACTCCTCTTGTTCCCCAGCCTCCCCAGCCACAGATGCCTCAAGTAACCACACTGTCCAGTACCAGTTTGTGTTGTACCGACATGCATTTGGTGTTTGGAGACACCAAGTCTGTGTAACACAGGAGGCTCTTACCTTCTGCAGGTGGGGAGGACTTGTGCTCACCTGCCCTCCCCCTCTGTGTTTCTCCCCACAGAGATGCAGGTGCTCCATTACCAGGAGAGCACCAGTCACCTTGTGTCAGCGAATGTGACTCTGCCAGGGTGATTTTTAGGAGAACATCTCCTTTTGTGTGGCTTCTGGACACACATGCTTAAACAGAATGAAATATGAGGAGTGTAAAACAATAGGCCTTGGTAACTCCACACAACACTCAGAGAGGGGGAAGGAGGGACCAGGTCAGCAAAGTGCTGCTCTCTGGGAAATGTTTGGCCATTGCAAGTTTAGCTTTAAAATGACTCAAAAAGAGCACAAATTCCCCCATTAGGGCTGTCCTTCCACAGCTCTGCTGGGTGCTCTGGAGGGGGAACTCTTCTGGAAGCTCAGGGACCATCAGTGTTTGCAGAGTGAGACACTGATATGTTCCTTTCTCAGTCTGCTCCAGTTATAGATTTTGGCAAGATCATCATCTACACTAATAACCTGAAAATCGTCCGTGCACCAATGGACCAGAAAGAGCTCATGAGAAGAATCATCCAGACTGATGGAGTGAACGACTGGACCTTCATGTACCAGGAGAGGAAAGAAAGGCTGGAGGGTGGACCTACAGATGTGGGAAAAAAGATCATCTGCAACCAGTATATGCAGGTAAGAGAAAATGGAAAGTGCTTTTTTCCCCTAAGGCTTGTGGGTCTCTCAGCCCTGGTCAGACCATGGGGTATTGCCACCCAAGCCCCATCTGCCTCTGTCTGGCTCCTAACTGTTTTTGGATTAAAAGCATCACTTCATTCCTTGTTCCCCTTGGAAGATAACAACCAACACTGAGCTGTAGCCTGTGTTTTGGGGAAAGCTGTGCTGGTTCCAGATGCTCTGATCTCCCACTGGATTCTTCCCTGGAGATGGCAGACGTTTGTGTAGCTTGGCTGAGGTCCAGCCCTTGTCTCCTCTCCCAGTGGGATAAGGGCAGGCCAGAGTCTTTGCAGCCTGACAAGGCTAAACACAGCTGCTCTGTGGCTGAGACTGCCACAGGCTAAAACCTTAACATCAGCTGGAATAAGGTTGTGCCTTCCACTTGCTTTCTCACAGAGAAGTCTTTGTTGGTCAGAATCCCAATTAGTCTGACCATAATTTGATCCCACAAAACGTAATGTTATGTGGGGCAGATAGAGTTTCACAGACCTCAGCCTGGTCTGTGCTGAGCACAGGTCACCGTGGTCCTTCTGTCCCTGAGAATTTCAAGGCAGGATCTGAAAGAGGCTGCTTGGCACCACGGGAGAGGTGCAGGCACAAGGACAACTTGAAACAAGGTGTGCATGGTGGTGATGGGGGATTTTGGGGGAGAGGGTGAGCAGAAATGCCTGAAGAAATGAAGCACAACTCAAACCTGAGGCTACAGAGCTGAGCTGTGTGGTAAGAAATGACAGGAGAATGGCTGTGCAGAGGAGAAAGGTGAACTTGGAGTATTGTTCTGAGCCCAATCACATGAACTTCTCATTTGTTAGCAGTGGCCACAAATCCTCCCCAAATGTATGGGAGCATTTTTGTTGAGGCTCTCACTGTAGAGAAGTGACTGCCACAAGCAACTGCGATGGGAAAGCCCAGAAGAGAGAATTTCCCTCTTTCAAGTATGTTTCTGACTTTGGTGTCTCACCCCACTAACACATCTTTTCCTGCTATGTCTCTGTCAGGACAGCGATGCCTACGGTTGTTTGCAGTGCAAAGGTTCAGGCTCTGCTCCCTGCTCGCTGTGCCATGGCAGCAAGTTCTCAATGCTGGCCAACAGGTTCAAGGAGTCGTACCGGGCACTGCGCTGCCCGGCGTGCGACGAGAGTGGGCTGCAGCCCTGCCAGGTCTGTGCAGCCTGACCCCCACGGCCTGCCAGCTCCACCCCGGGCACGGGGAGAGCTGGGAATGGCTTTGCCCTCCAGCAGCCTTGCTGCGACCACAAGCTTTCAACAGATGGGAAAGCATCTCATTCATATCCCACGTGAGTGTGAGACTGCATCTCTGCTCCTGCTCGTCCCTCTGACCTGCCCGGTGTGCCTGCCCAGCCTGGCGATCAGCCTGACCCCAGTGACTGCAGGGTGGACCTGTCCCTGCTGCCAGCTGCAGGGGGATGCATCCCTGGGCCAGAGGACACAACCAGCATCCCGAGCCCAAGCACCTGCTCAATTGCCTTTGCATTTGGAAATGGGCTGAAACAGTACCTGTGCTGGCACTGCCCCTCCCTGGGACCTGGTGCCTAGCACGGCTGGGGCTGACCCACCAAGTGCTCCACCAGGAAATGCATCAGGAGTAGGAGCAGTAGTTGGTACTGGCACAGGGAGCTGTCCCACCTCGGGTGTGCAGCTGGCACTGGTGCACTCTGTGCCAGCAGTGCCTCCCCTGTGTTTACCTTGCTGAGCGCTGAACATGACAGTCCTTGCAGTTAACTCTGTGCCCTGCAGAGTCACCAGCACTTCACCAGGTTTTGCTGATCCTTTGGGGTCTGATCTGTGGGAGGAAATGGAAAACCTTTCTCAAATCTGGAGCTATACAAAATGTATGTGAATTTATCATTACAAATAGAAGTTAGTTAAGTTCTTAGCCTCCTTAAAAGGAAGGGCTGGACTAAAACTCCCCTGTGTGCTGCTCAGCACTTCTCAGGACAGGCTGAGGGTGAGCACAGTGGCTCTTGCTTCATGTTAATCCCATGTTGTAATCTGCAGAGGTAAACTCTAATTAGCGAGGTGAGGCAATGCTGGGGATCCTTTGCAGGCTGCACAGGGCACAGGGGCTATGAGAGGCTGAGGCAAGCAGGGGAAATGGTGTTTTTTATCCCCAAAGCATTAACATACTGCATTTGATATTCAGGAGTAATCTGAGTGCAGCCTTCCCTCTGTATTACCTTTGGGACCTTGGTGAGTTGGGGGCTGCTCACAGGTGCTTCGTACTGAGGCTGCGAGCCCAGGCAGGGTAATTTATGGCCCAGTTTCTCTTTTCCTGTGGAAGGTTATGAGGTTTCTCTGCAATACTGAAGTGATTTGAAATAATGCTGTTTTAGCTCTTAGACTTCCATGTGGCTCCCACTGAAATTGTGAGTGTGTACTGAGGGTTATTTTCCAAAATGTGCATCCATCCACAGCAGATACTTGATTGGCTTCATTCATCAGAGCAGGATCTGCGACAGGAAAAAGTCTTGTCCTTGGGGTGTCACTGAGGGCAGCTGAGACTCCCAGATCAGAAATTGCTTTCCAGCAGATCCCTCCCCTCAAATCTTACCTGTTGGATTTCAGTTTGTTGGGCTTCTTGGAGAGTTTGCTGGTTTTAGACAAGGAAAGAGCAACCAGGTGAAATTGCTGCCCGATAATGTTTACAATGAAACTAGACACAAATATGCATTTGTAAAATCAGTATTTCTTGTTCTTTGGCAATTAAGATATTTCTCAACCGCTGTCACTTCTCCTGGCTGTGTCAGCTGTTCCCAGCACCCCAACACGTCACTGGGGCGATGCCAGGAGCTCTGCCTCGCTGGGCCCGGGAGCACAGACCTGAGGCTGGGTGGGAGCACCGTGGGCCGAGCAGGGCAGGGAGATTTCCTCCCCCACTGCCAGTGCACTGCTTGGTTTTGGTGGCACTGACTGGATTTACCCAATAAATGCTCTGATTGCACATGACAGACGTTGGCATTTCCTGCAGCGCCGTGCTGAGGCAGTGGCCGA